AAGCAAAATACCTGGAAAGAATAGGGAAAAAAATATGGGAATTGTAATCACCGTCCAGATAATACATACAATAAAATCCAAAAGGTCATAGTTTCAACATTATGCTGCATATGATAGTCCTTTAAATATAAGCTACTGCAAATCATAACTTTTAAAAAAATATTTGGTATCCATCCATTGTCTATACTACATTTCGCAGGGCACAACTATTTTTTTTTTTTTTTAAAGAACTAATTAAGTAGGTGGTGGCATGGTGGGCGACCGGTTAGCATGTCGGCTTCACAGTGCAGAGGTGCAGGGTTCGATTCCGGCTCCGACCTTCCTGTGTGTAGTTTCCATGTTCTCCCCGTGCCTGCGTGGGTTTTCTCCAGGTACTCCACTTTCCTCCCACGTTCCAAAAATATGCATGGCAGGTTAATGGAGCACTCTAAATTGCAACGCAGATGATTGTTCGTCTATGTGTGCCATGCGACTGGCTGGCAACCAGTTCAGGGTGTCCCCCACCTACTGCCCGAAGACAGCTGGGATAGGCTCCAGCACGCCTGCGACGTTTGTGAAGATAAACGGATTTGAAAATGGATGGATTGATAATTAATTAGGTTATCAAGATTCACAATTTATACCTACAGTTATCAAATATTTTTCTCCAACAAAAAGTGATGAACCAAACATTTTGGGAAGGTGCTTTAAAACCTCTTTTATATTTTTTCACACACAAATTCCAACAAAACAATAACTACATATAAGGAGGCAACAACGTTTTGGGGGGGAATGCAAATTAAGACAGTGGGACTGTGACATTTTTTTTTATCCTGCAGGTGAGGATCAACAGTCCCTACATGAATCAAACAGCAAAAATTGTGGACCTCAATTACTGGACTACTTTGTGGTTCATAGAGAATGATGTCAGACGTTAGGAATAGTTGGAGAGGATCAACCATTTGCATTTTGGGGTTAGGGGAAATGTTCCACTGTGACTCAAATGGAAAGAAAACACAATCTGTGTCACATTTTTACTCAGACTTGTATCACATTTGATCAGTTCTTCCTTGGCGCATGTGTCCCCTCTGCAAAGTTACTTCGAAATTGACGATGCTAGCTGCAGGCAGGGCAACTAACAATATGTGATCATCACAATACTTCTCACTTTGCTGCATCAGTGCAGGAAGTTACCATTTCGTGATGACAGTTGCAATTATTTAGGTGCCATCAAATACCACCGCCTACCTGACAGCATAAAGAAGATAAAAAGTCACAGTTTCACAACTGTTAAAACTTTCTATAGGCAATGTGCAGTGATCCCACTGCGTTCTAGGCAGGACACACCCTGCTGAAAAATGATGTCTGGATACAGCAGCCAAGCATGTCAACCAAGCATCCTGGATGCAGTAGCCAATCATGTTCCAGTGTGATGTTGGGGTCATAGGGTTGAAGCAGTTCGGCAGCTTGATAGTGGGAAGCAGTGGCGGATGCTGGTCTGTCAAGGAGGAGAAGCTCAATTTCGGCCTACGTCATAAAATGTGTTTATTTATACATGAATTCTCCTCTCTGTTCCTTTTCAAGAAAATGATCTGTGACCCTGTCATACCAACAAAGCGTCTTTTCCAGGGTCTTAACTGTGGTGATATAAATCAGTCTGCGAACACAAGCAACTACAATAAAACACACCAGAAATAAATTATTAATCTGTCGCTAGTCGTTTTCAACAAAGACTGTGTCGCTAAAATGATTAGAAGTCTCCAGTTCAACTCAGAACAGAATGAGAATTGAAAAATGCTCCCACGGATGCCGACACCAAAAGATCGGTGATTGGCTCATTTTGCTGTCAATCAAAAAGAGATATAGCCTCAGACAGATCATCCAATCATCATGAAAGCTCAGCGTCCTGGCCGGCCGATACACGCCCACTGCCCGTAGACTCCCAGAGACGCTGAGCGTCAGACGGGCGGGACAAAAACCAGCATTTATCCAATGACTGGTCTCCTTTCAATGCATTGGGACAACCTACTAGAACTCTCTCGACGCCCAGCGTCAGCGCTGTTGATGCTCAGCGTCCACACAGTTTAAAGCACAGTGAAGCTGCAGGAATGAATGAGAAGAGAGTCACATCGTAACCAGTAATAAGAAGCTGATTCGGAACAAAAGTTGAGCGCATTGTAGCGCATATTTAGTCAATGACATGTACACAAAATTGTATATACACACATATATTCGATCACTTATTTTTTGACATTTTAGGGGAAGCTGAGCTTCCCTTGAGGGTCTTAGAGCAATCGCCTCTGGTGGGAGGATAACACATTTATGAAAACTTGCCCAAAAAAGATAATGTCAATGTCGCTTGAAATAAAATGAATGTTTGCAAACATCGATACGAGAGTTAGTGTGTTTACAATCGTTGAAATCTATTGACTTGCTACCAAAACAGCTAACATGGTTAACTAAAATGACCATCAGCTCGTGTTCATTCCGACACTGTATCACAAAGTGCAGAGAAGCAGTGACTCATTTTCTGAGAAATAAGTACTTTTACTCTTGTATTAGACCTCAATTTTATTTTGAAAAATTACATTCTTTATATTCTTTTTACAATTGCTAGTGAAGCTACGAACCACATTGAATGGGGACCAAAGTTATTCTCCCAAACATCTAAAAAAAAATTGTTTTTAGAGCCGCAACTAAAATACCGCTATACCGTGAAAGTACAATATTTTCCTCACAGTTAGCATACTGGCAGAATCTGAGGCCCATGCCTATGTGATGACCCCCTGACATTTAGAAGTAAATGGGTCTCAACAGTGAGGAAATAACTGTACCAAACCACATGCCATCAGACCCACTGAAGCCATTCTGGCAACTCTTACGGACTTGACACCTCTCAAAGTCATTGAGAGTTTCCTTTATTAAGTCACTCTTCACGTTGAGTGTGGTGCAAACCAAGGTTTTGATTGTTATGGAAACTTTCCCGCAAGGAATGGTTTCTATTTGGTGCTTTGTGTGCATAATTAGTCTTCTTTCATTGCACTGCAATTGCGGAAAACAAATATAGCACAATAAAGTGACACGTACAAAGTGCCAATTACAGCCTGGCTCTCTTAAGTCTGACTTTATACACACCAAATAAGGAGGAGGAGCAGATAAAATTTTCAGTAGTGCACTCAAGTGAAGCTCCTCAAAACGTGTTCTTGTGGCCTAATTGGCCACATGAATATCTCTCCATGCGATCATCTGAAGTGTCACAATCGCTTTAGATGTGCAGAGCGGACGTAATGAGTGTGAGAGTGGTCCCACAATGAAGTCAAGGTGTTGCGCGATGCGATGTAAAAGGAATGAATCACTGGACTAACAGGCCAGAAAATGGTCTTACTGTCAGTTTCTCTCTGACTCGTACTTTTCCAGTAGAAAATGGGGCAGAAACAGATTTCATGCAATGATTTGAGTCTGAAAGTCAAGGCTGTGGGAGTAGGAAGAGGTGAGCAATCTCAGCATACATGTGCATCCTGGTGAGTAAAAGAGTCAGTTGCTGCGCCACAGTCATTAGCTCACTCTCTTTGGAGACTCCAAATCTCTTAATTAAAAGGAGTGCATTATAATCAAATAAAATTCTCAAGCACAGAGGGAGTTTAATTCAGCTTTCTCTGTTGAGTGATAATCTCAGTTGTTCCTCCAAGCCGGTTTTATTTGTTTATTTGTTTCTAGGTGATATAAGGTACTCTGGTATTTCACTTTGAGGCTCTGGGACAATATTTAATTGTGTTCTATTCTGCTTGTTGGCCCATCATATAAAGTATATGTCTGTCACAACCAGTGGCCTCCATAGCTATTGGCACCCCCGGTTAAGATGTGTTCAATTTCTTAAAATTAATTTTTATTGTAGAAGTTACTCATACTGAAAATTGTAGAAAATGGTTCACCAGACACAGAATCAAGCTTCTCCCATGACCATCTCAGTCCTCAGACCTCAACACTATTGAAAACTTATGGAGTGGGATAAAGAGGAGTGTGCAGAGGAGAAGATGCAGTCCCTCTTCAAATTCTGTTTTTTTTCTTTTTTTGCAGAGGAAATTTCCTTCCCTATCCTATCCGAGCGCAATGATCTCTTTGGAGAGTTGGACATTAGGATCGTTCAAATTCTACAAATGCTTAGGAAAGGTGGCTGGATGCAGGCTTGACGCCCACTTTAGCATTTATTACTTCTGATCAACCTTTATGAAAGGATATGACCCACAAATCTTTACGACAGCAAAATTTAAAGCAACAGGACACTGACGTAGTTGACAGACTATGGAGATGCACTAGTTACACGCTCAGGACTTTAAAAAAATGTTTCAAGAAAAAAAAAAACACTAATTTAAAAATAGCCATAAGAACGTTTCTTTTTGTCACACTAGGGTACACAATGAGGCCAAGAAATATACATTCAAAGCAAAAGGAAAGGTGTGGTTCCACACAAACGAGAATAGATTATTCTAAACACCTTTCAATAATTTAGTAGAGAATGGGAAATTCCAAATTCAGTGAAAAATACCATCAGTGATCCTTCACAAAAACAATCATTAGTATCTGTATCTTTTTCATTTTAATATTATCTGCAAACTAATATTTTGCAGGTAAAGTCCGCAAGCTGCTGTCTTGCGTCAGCAATACAGTACTCGTCATCGCACCATGAAGTTTGGAAAAGTGGGGTTATCAGGGGTGCTAATAATTGTGGAACCCATGATTTGAAGTGGGATTTTTTTTTCCCCCACTGAACAAATACACTTGAATTAAAAGTTACTTTGCTCTTTAAACAATATGTAATAAAAGAAATGGTCCTACATTATTAAAAAAAAAAAAAGAAAAAAACTGAATTGGCAGTGTACTTCATTCATCCATGGATATGAATAATATGTACATACTGTATTTTGTGTCTTTTTTGCTTTGTTTTTTGACACTAATGGGGGATATGTGTTACAAGGCAAAACAAGCACTTTTAATAAGTTGGATGTTATTTATCGTTTCAGAGTGAAGAACAGAAGGAACAAGTGTTTAATCAAAGCAATAAAGTCTTCCTCTACTGCGCCTTCCTGGACTACAGGTGATTGTGTGTTTGTGATTTGTGTGATTTACCCTACACGCACCAGTCCTTGTGACAGAAACATCGCGTGGATTTGTTCTGATTGTGGGATTTTCGTTTCATTTAATCAGAGAAATATGAAACATGTGCTTATCCCTTTTCTATTTCAAACATCTGAGTTATTTTGGAGTAATCAATCTAATGCAATAACATCCATCCGGTATGTCTAATATTCTGATAAACATCAGTAAATTCTGAAAAATGTTGATGCATTTCACATCCATTCTCACCATTACTAGTGCAAAAACATCATTCCAAAACTATTAGTGGCATAAGCATTGGGGTGGTTGGCTGCGTTGCTCAGGAATGATTCATGAATATGCCTCTGGTGAATCGAACAGTATGTCTTTTCTTTCGTCAATTTGCCACGCTTTCCACACGTTGAAACAAACCACAGAATGCATTTTTTTCCCTATGGGAGTATGCTCTAGTTTTACTCTCTGTCTTCTTTTTTGCCTGACTCGTCTTGGTTCTGACTGCAAATGGGAAAGTGTCCCAGTGAGTTCGGGGAAGATCATTCTTTCTCAAAATAGATCACTGCGTTTCATCTCTGCAAGCAGCAAAACGTCACATAAATATATTTTAAGGTAGTTTTTTTTTTCTATATTAAGTAACAACAAATGGTCTTCTTTTTCAGTTCCAAAGAGGGGGTTTGGTCCAATCAAGGTTGTGTGCGTTCAGAAGGAAACATGACATACTCTGTGTGTCTGTGCAATCACCTCACCAACTTTGCCATTCTTATGCAAGTGGTTCCCTTAAAGGTATGGCTGTGGTTTTGAACATTTAGGTAGCTTGAGGTTTGGTGTCCAACTCCACCAGTGGCAATGTCTTTTCTGAACTCTTAAGACAGTGTTGACTTGTTGGGTGTTTTATGAATGAGTAAATAAATACATTTTTATTGCTTTTTTTTGTTACTGGTACTTTATTTTTAGGATTATTCTGTTGCAGTTTATATACAAAGGTATATTGTTGATTCAGATGGGAAAAGGAACATTTAAGGAATTTATTTGTATGTCAACAACAGTAGATAAATCAACATACAAGATGATTTTTTTCATTTTCACAAATTCCTAATCAGTGGTAAAAATGATTCATTCATTTTCACAAATTCCTAATCAGTGGTAAAAATGACATAAAGTACGAATACATCATAAAAGCTGTCATTATATTTAATCATCTGATAATCATAATTATCTTTCTGCAATGATTGCTGCTGGGCAAAAAAATATTATGTTTCTATTGTCTTATTGTGAAGCATATGATGTCAGTTTCAATGTAAGTGAAAGGAACCAAATGTGGTTCTTTGGCCTGACAACAACAAAGCAACAGTTGCATGGTGTGTTTGCTTGTTGACACACAGCGAGGACATGGATGATGAGCAGACCTACATGCTTGTGCGTGGTAGATACAAACACAACTCCTATTAGAGAAAGCCGATGCAAATCACAATCTGCTGCACATTAGCAGTTTTTAACCAAATTAGGCATAGTATGTAAACATAGCGCAACGATGGCCAAAAATGAATCTGTTCCGTTTCAGCCTAACTGGAACCACAGATAGTCTGCCCTCTTAGTGTTTTGTTATCGGAGATGCAAAACGCCTCAGAATAAGGAAGGTTGTCTGACCTACATCAGACGAGAGGCAGCCGAGGTGGGAAACGAGAGACAAAGTAAGCACTGCTTTTGCTGCAAATCACGAGCAGACTGTATTGCTGTCAATATACTGTTGAAGGATAATGATACGCATGTCATCTGCACAGACTTTGCTGGCCTCTGCAGATTCTGTATGCGATGTTAAGTTACTGACAGATATAGAACATCTATGTAGAGCATGTTTTTAAACCCCTAACAAACTTTACTTTGAAGGGAGTGCACTTCTCAGTCTCCCCCCTTGTTCAGTGTAGGTCTATCAAAAGCAGACCTACACAATCCCAATGTTGGTTTCACTGCTGGTTTTCTACAGAACTACTGGAGGAAACCATGATTGAATGTGGTTCCTTGGGTCACTACAACGGTCAATGGTCCAGCCCTCAAGGACCACAGAGTGCCATCAGAGGCCCACTGACGGACGCAAAAATGTACCAATCAAAATATGTGGTACACCATCCTAATCATGTTTCGTTCTTCATAAACACACTCCTAACCAATATTATTTCTTTAACTATCTGTATCTAGAAAATGCTAGAATACCAACTCTTTGTACGGTATGAGCCAGTGGAGAACGGCCAGTAACTCCGCTTGTTCATTTTAAATAGAAAACCACTCAGTGCTCGAGTACCGTATTTAAATGCAGAAGCCTATTTGATGCTATTCTTTCCCCTTAGTCACTCTGTAATTAGTGGTCTGCCTCATCCCTCAGCTGCAAAGGGAATGTACCACGCATCCTTTTTGGGGATGCCTAAGACTGCTCTACTCTGGTAATGACAAGGCACATTTAATAGAGAATCAAACCCAACATCTTGAAATAGATCTGACTCCAAAATAACATTTCATGAAGGTCTACACCAGTGTATGAATGAAAAAGTATGCAACGTTGTCAGTCTTCACTAAAGTATTAGGGAAAACTCACTTATACTCCATAATAATAGATATTTTATTGTATTCTTACAGAGACGATACAACGTGCATAAATATGTGTATCTATGTATTTGAAATGATCGACATGTTGATTGACAACCATGTTGAAATATTTTAGAATTGTAATCATGTCATTCAAGTTTCATGACCGTTAGAGTGGCAACCATAGTTGACAAATAATTCCACTAGTTTTATTGCGGGTGTTGCGATTTACTAACTTGTGAACAAAACCCAGTACCGTTATGAATGTCTTGGGTGGCATCTTCTGAAACAAGTGCGTTTGTTTCTGTGCACAGCTCACCACGGGCCACCGGGTGGCACTGTCAACCATTGGCTATGTTGGATGCTCGATTTCCATTTTCTGTCTGGCCATCACTCTCGTCACATTTGCAGTCCTGTCGTGAGTATCACTGTCATCACTTCGACTGGTACACGTCTGTGTAAATATCCCTTATTTTTCATGCAAACCTCTGCTTTTAATCACTTGTTTTCGGTCACATTAGCCCAGGAAATAAAGTTATTTGTTCCCAGTACATACAGTAAAGGTAAATTGCGAATTGTGACTTGAAAAAAAGTGTGTGCATAAATAAATATACACACACACACACACACACACACACACACACACACACACACACACACACACGTGTGTGTGTGTGTAAAATAAAATTGTAATGCCATAAAAATATGACTATTTTAAGAATATTTTTACTCTCTGGGAGATTGGGTATGTTGTCAAATACCATATGTGACACAATAGAATCAAGAGTGAAATGTCACATTAAATGTCACGTAAAAAAAACAAAAAACAAAAAAAAAAAACCCTTGACGGAAAAAGAAAAATCTGCATTTGAATGGTGTACATCGCCTTTCGACCAAAGTCAGCTGGGTTTGACTCCAGCTCACCCATGACCTTCATACCTACTGTAAATATCGAATTACCTAAAATACCGACAGTATCTTGACATTCTGTCCGCAAACGTTTTAAGCCGAAGTGCAAAACGTGTTACTTTCATTTTCCATGACAATGTTTTGAATGAATAATCCATCCATCCATCCGTTCATTCATCCACCCATTCATCACTCCTTCCACCCATCTTGTATTGCTTAGCCCAGCTGGCTGAGCGACAGGCAGCTGTGCATCCTGTGCGTGATCACGAGTCAATCACAGGACATATATCGACAGACAACCTTTCACACACTACACACACTCACACCTTCGGACAATTTAGGGTCTTTATTAAACCTAACATGCATGTTTTTGCAATGTGACATGAAGCCAGAGTACCTGGATGCATGCACGCACAGAAACGACCCAGAACCTTTGACTGTGAGCCAGGCATGCTAGTCACATGCTCCTTCACGCTGCCCCCGAATAAACAATCACAGATAAAATATAGGTTTGATGTAGCATTCACCTCCATTTGATTACATTTCACTTTACTCTTTTGGCACTATCCTTATTATTCAGACTCATGTACTGCTTTTGGAGAGGAGTGCAGAGTTGAATTTTGAATTTGAAGCCTGCTCTAAATTAACGAAAATGCGGCCCAGGAAAACATTTACTGATGAATTCCATATTGCTCTTGAAAAGTTTGCAAATGGGATTTGAATGCAGCTAATAAAACGCCATATCATTGTGTGATGCATTTATCTGATGATTGCCCCTTGAACAAGTGGTGCTTTTGGTTGAAGATTTTGGTTGAATATTCTACTTAAGTATCAATAAGAAGAGATTCAACACATTTTAAGTTACTGAATTAATAACATGAATATTTGAGTTCTCCCTGTGCTTCTCTGCAGGTCAGTGAGTACCATTCGGAACCAGCGCTACCACATCCACGCCAACCTTTCTTTTGCCATCTTGGTGGCAGAGATCTTGCTGCTCATCAGTGCCAGCTTCGACCCTGGAACGGTAATTACATCCAATACTGGTCACTGAGGTTGGTCACTGTGACAGTTGCAACGAGAATGAGACAAGAAAAGGACAACACCAATATGGATTAATGACTGATTGATATTTCTGTCTCCTGTGCCAGCTGCCTTGCAAGATCATGGCTGTCCTGCTTCACTTCTTCTTTTTGAGCGCATTTGCTTGGATGCTCGTGGAGGGCCTCCACCTCTACAGCATGGTGGTCAAGGTGTTTGGTTCTGAAGGCAGTAAACACATATACTACTACGGCATAGGTTGGGGTAAGTCAGTCATTATGGGTGCACTAAGCTGGTGCCATTCAGTTGCAGGCTGCACTCTAAATGACCCTTCAGTTCAGGCCTTTAAACTATAAATGTGATTTTACTGTTTTACTCGTCGCACCGTACAAGTGAAAGTGCAATAACTACATTCATGTTCTATATAGTGTACATCTGTTTTGAATCGCATTCCACAGTAACAATTGCCTCTCCGGATCTTAGTCTAAAAAAAGCCTCTTGGATATTTGTATACCATGGCTGCAGAGGAATGCCCCCTTCCCCATGTTGAACCCATTAGTGGCAACATTTTTCTTTTCTCCCTTATTGCCTCCTCTACTCTACCCCAGTAGGTTTTTTTTTTTTTTTATGTGGCCAAATGCAAATGATGTTTAAAAGACTGTGGTCTGCGAGTCTACATACAGTATGTACAGTATGACTGCAGTACAAATTAAAAGTAAATTTCATTGAGGCTATCGAGTTTTTATCTACCCCTAGTGCTGATTATTGTTTGAACGTGGTGTACTGTACAAGGAGCCTTTGAGCATGTCAATGAGTAACAGTTATGTTGGACAATGTCTTCTGTGACATAACAATCAATAGGATCACACAGTGGTTGTCAACTGTCCGATAACAGTTGGAACTTATTGTGTCATCTCAGTAAATGTAACTAATTCTGTGGCACCCACATTGAAAATGAGGATTAGTCACATCTGGCAACAGTTCCCGATATATACACAACAACTCAGGTTTCAAAATGGTTGATTATATTTTGTCAGTAGGTGGCTATAGAGTATGGGACGAAAATAGTCTTGTCCGCGGAAAGGACAATTTGGACTGCATTGGACAACATTATGGCTGTTGCTTTTTGTCAAACAACTGTCAAGGCTGATAAGATTTTTTTTTTTTTAATCTAGTGTTATTGATGCCGATGAGTATATGTACCGGTGCATCAGAATTTTTAAACAGTGTAAGGTTTTTGTTTACTTTGCTTTTATTTTTTTTCAATCAGGCTCTCCACTGGTGATCTGTGTGGTGTCCATGACTTCAGCATTGAGCAGTTATGGCGAGGTTGACAAGTAAGTGTAATCTGCTTGTAAAATGGAAAAATAAACGTCATTGAAAAATGGTATTTAATTATATTCTCCATCATAGTTCAGTAACATTGCATCATCATCAGGAACACTCTAAAGTTACCAGGCAATATATCCATGCCAGTTTTCCTCTGCCCTTGCTTTCTCAGCTGCTGGCTGTCCCTGAAGAATGGAGCCATCTGGGCCTTTGTGGCACCAGCTCTGTGTGTCATTGTGGTGAGCAAGTTTCAGTAATTTACACATGCTGGGATTTTTTTTTGTTTGATTTTCCTGCATAAATCTGTATTCCTTCAAAGAGTCTTGTTTATCCCAGTAGTAGTAGAAAACGACATAGTTTTCGTTCAATGCGGTGTTTGTTCATCTCCTTTATTATTTCCTTTCTGATTACCAGGTAAACGTTGGCATTTTGATATCGGTAACCAGAATAATATCTCGTATCAGTGGAGAGAATTACAAAGTTCACGGAGATGCCAATGCAGTGAAGTGAGTGTGTCTCTTTTCTCCAGCAGGCTTTCCTTAAGTTATGATTGAAATACTGTTGAGTATACTGTACAATGTACCAACACTAAAAATGTGGTTCATACTTGAAGGCTCACTGCAAAGGCTGTGGCAGTACTTCTACCTATACTCGGGATTTCCTGGATCTTTGGAGTTTTAGCTGTCAACACACACTCCTTGCCATTCCTTTATATATTTGCAATTTTCAACTCTCTGCAGGTACGTCTCTTTACTTTTCCCAAAGTTTTGCAGTTTGAGTTCATCTTAAAGTGACAATGTTCTCCTTCCTTTCTAGGGTTTCTTTGTCTTTCTGTTTCATTGTCTTCTTAACTCTGAGGTATGTTGCCTAGCATGTGAAATGTTTTGGTCATTTTTGTGTTTTCTTTTGTTAAGCCTCGTGGGAGGCAAATCTCCACACACCCTCCAGCAATATTGAATTTGGCCAGAATGTCCGATGGCGTAATGTTGTTTCCTCTCTCTGTAGGTCAGGGCTGCTTTCAAACACAAGACCAAAGTGTGGTCTCTCACCAGCAGCTCCATGCGAAACATCAACGTGAAGCCCTTCAACTCTGACATTGTGAGTCCTTGCATAACAGATGGGCTGGACCAAAGAGCTGTGCACCTGTTAACTGCCTGAGCTAAATACTCTCCCTCTCTCCTATCTTGTAGATGAATGGAAACAAGGACGGTGTATCCCCCACTAAGATGAACACATGGGACAAGAGCACCAACTCGGCCAATCGCATTGACCTCTCGGCAGTGTAGACCACCGCAATGTCAGTGTGCGGACACCAGTGTAGAATGACACGCAATGACCTGAATATTTCCACACTATTTCATATGATTAACCGTCACCTCAGTAGAGTGAAAGGGATGCCAAATGGGGTGATCTGTTGCTCCAAATCCACTCTAATAACTGCACCTTATTAGTGTCTCATTAATGACATATTGTGTTCCCGCAGATCGGGGTCGAGATTTCGGAGGTCAGTGTGGTCACAGTGTTATAGCATTATTCAGTCTCTGACTACGATGCTCTGTGCAGCAGAGTGTCTTTTATGTAGACTTGTCTATTTGTTCACAACAGTTCATTTGGCTCAAGTTTATTTAATTTGCAGATGTCTGTTGTCTCGCAGAATACGATCTCCTGCTTTGAAAGGCATTACCTTGGTCAGACAACAACAGGGAAAGTGACCTAACTTCCTTTGAGTTTAGCTCCATGCCTTCAAAACAATAAATAGCACATAGCCTTTGGAGATGTCACAACACAGTCAACTGCATAATAACACACCATGAGGCTGCAGTAAAATGAACTCTGTGTTATTCTGATATGATGTATTTATTTTGTGATATGAGGATCTGTTTCATGTCTTTTATGATGTGTAGCAGCTGAACAGCGAGCTGTCTGTGTGTGTTTTGTTTCCTCTTTTGAAATGAGTTGACTGGTATTTAACAATACCTCACATCTTGGCAAGATGCAGTATGGTATGTTCTCTTCAGAATAACGAATACTTGTGTGTTTTGAACACTGTTCTGTGAAGTTTTACAGTGTGTTTTCAGTATTTCTCGAGCGATATTTCATACTTTTTGTACATTGAGGCTGAAATGTTATGTAAAACAGGCAGCACGGTGGTCGACTACCGGTAGTTAGCACATCCACCCAAACGTTCTGAGGTCGTGAGTTTGAATCCGGACTCCGGCCTTCCTTTGTGGAGTTTGCCTGTTCTCCCTGTTCTTGTGTGGGTTTTCTCCGGGTACTCCGGTTTCCTCCCGCATTCCAAAAACATGCATGGTAAGATGATTGAGTACTCTAAATTGTCCGTATAGGTGTGAATGTGAGTGTGAATGGTTGTTTGTCCATTGTGCCCAGCGATTGTCTGGCAACCATTTCAGGATGTACAGTCCTCCGCTTCTCGGCCACCGACAGCTTGAATAGGCTCTGGCATACACATGATGGATGGATGTCGACAACTGAATGCCATAATAGAATTGTTTTTTATTCATAACTGTGAGAATGACGGGAGATGACATCAACATGTCATTAATCTGTCTCAACACTGTACCAACAACTGCTTTCAGAACAAAAAGAAAAGGATTTACTGTCAGTGTCTCAGCAAGAACTCACGGTTAATATTGCAGACATTCAATTTTGTATCAGACCATCATTGGTTTTTATTATGGTACTATGGTTTGTGCTTTCACTTATCCTTATTAAAAACGATTGAAAAAAAAGTGCCATATTTTATAATCAACAAAGTGTTAATGTACAGTATGTGTGTCCTTTCTTGAAACAACCTGGCTGTGCACAACTGCGAACTAATTAGATTGCATTCTTTGGTGACCTCACTGTGGTAGATGTGGAAACATGTTGACAACTACAACACACAACAAAGTAGGGTTTCTATGATACTGTTTTGTTTGAGCTCGATTTTTAGTATTAATCACCGGAGCAAATTCCTGAAACTGCAGAAGCACCATGAATAGTGGTGGTGCAGTGACACATGCGTGCTCCAACAAAGTCGACGTCACCATATCCTCTTTGATGACACATTTTTTATGGACATTGTTTATAGTCGACATTTCGATTGACTGGTCGGAAATGTTGTCCATAGTTACTTGTCATCAATTAGACTCCAGCTTTTTAAAGTACTCCGGTGCTATGCGTAAATATATCTGAGAAGAAGCATGCTTTTTACATAATTGTTTTTTTTTTCAACAATGCTTACGACATTCCCCTAACCATTGAATACCTGTAGTACCAAAGTTTGCCTATGAGTCTCTAATTTACAAGGTGTCATGAACGCAACGCCATCAAACGCCGACGACTGGCTTTGCGCATGCTCATTGGTAACATGAGCGGCTACAGGGAATGGGGAGCAATAAAAGGTGAAGAGAACGCCAAACAAGTTAATATATGATCCTTGGTGGAATACAGACAGTTTACTGTACTAATGCGTTTTTAGTGGTTGTTGCGTGCTGAACAAACGGGGGAACTCGTTCAAAATATTCCAAGAAAAAAAAACATTCTCGGTCTGGTTACACATCTTTATTTATACCCTGTCGCACGTGTTTTAATTTTTTGGTTGGTTTGTTTTTGTCCAGTGACAGCAACGTTGTACGTTCGTCGGCGACATTGTCTTTAATGATAATGCTAACGCCGTGTGAGGATTCTCCCATTGGTCATTAAAATGGGAATGCACTCGTCCAGTGAAGTTTTCGAGGCGCTGTATGTGTGCTTGCGTCGGTGATCCCCCAGCCCGCTGAGCCTGCCTGGAAAGGATACACGCACAAGGCATGGAGTCTGTTGGGAAGTTTGAGTTCAACAGGAAAGACCTGATTGGTCACGGCGCCTTTGCGGTTGTGTTCAAAGGACGACACAAGGAGGTACAGTAATTGATGTCATGAGTTTCAACATTATTCTGATTTAGAATCTTACCTAATACGTCCTTTTGTTTGTCAAGAAACATGATTGGGAAGTGGCTGTCAAGTGCATCAACAAGAAAAACTTGGCCAAATCCCATTCTCTACTTGGAAAAGAAATAAAAATTTTAAAGGTAACCAAGAATTGTCTGTGAATGTCCAGCGATGCTTAGCGAGACTAAAGTGCAAAAAAAAAAAAAAAAAAAAAAGAGAAAGAACTGAATGTCAAAGTAATCCCTACATATTTTATAGCTATTGCACCTAGGTCTAAGCAGTATCAGAGCAATCTATTTGGAGACATAGTAATGTTTTGCAATGCCAAAATATGAAAGTGCATCATCATGCTTTTTGTGATCGATGACATCACCTTTGATGTTGTCCACCGAGGCTTAGCGGAACAAAAAGGCAAAAAAAAAAAAAAAAAAAAAAGAGAAAGAACTGAATGTCAAAGTAATCCCTACATATTTTATAGCTATTGCACCTAGGTCTAAGCAGTATCAGAGCAATCTATTTGGAGACATAGTAATGTTTTGCAATGCCAAAATATGAAAGTGCATCATCATGCTTTTTGTGATCGATGACATCACCTTTGATGTTCTTTAAAGAAAATATAAATGACCTACTGTTCATGCCAAGAATAATAACAACCTCTCCATTTAATTTCACATCCCTTTCGAAATCACGCTTGTAGCATTTGACTGCAACTGCTTGATTAAAACCAATACAAGAAAATAAACTGATTTTGTTTTTCATCATGCCATGTCCTCTTTGGGTGTTTTTCCTCCAGGAACTCAAGCATGAAAATATCGTCAGACTATTAGACTACCAGGTGGGTTTGATTTTCTTTTCCACTTTACCCAAACCACAGCACTTCTTACCATTTGATGCCATGAAGTTACAGTTTGCTGAAACATTAGGTGTTATAAATACAATACAGAATATATTGTTATGTATTCTAGTTTTTTTGGTGATCTTTAAGGCATCAAGAAGTGTAGAAGTGAATTTTCACTTAGAAATACAGAAACCACAGAAAAATGAAATGACATTTGAAGAAAATGACATTTGAAGCAGGCCCCAGGTAGGAAAGCATTTGGGAGTTTGTGTCAATGAATAGCCGCTCGCATTGCTATCACCTGCCAGGCAAACGGGAAGCTGTGAACTAATCTCCTATTTGTGGCAGATGGACAGTTAAGCAATGGCTTTTAAATTATTTGCCCGCACCAGATGGACACTAGCATGACTTAAGAATTTACACTCTGGGTCAGGCTGCAAGATACTTTTTAAGTCAGTGATCACCAGATGTTAACCTGCTGCTCTTCTATGAGTAAGAGATGTTAGTATCAGTCCAAAACATATTTTGTGCTGGATTTTCCCAGTAGCTTTATGTTTGTGCCAACAATGACCAAGTAAATTTAGCTTTTTCTCCTCTTCATCTGCCCCCCATGTGCTAGGAATACTGGCACCTTATACTTGTAACCCTTGTACTTTGCTCCATCTCACATCTTCACCTCACATGTGATTTTTTTCAATGTTTTTTCAATGTCTGGACAGACGTGGTAATTGGTTTGCGGGGCATTGTGGGGGCAATGGGTTCACAGGCACCTGTCGGTCCCACACTGTGTAAACGTGGTCTGTACTGATTACATTGTTAGTGAGTGTGGGGTATATATTGTTGGTGTCAGTGTCACATGAACGCTGAGGTACTAATGGTTCATGAATAAATTACTTGTAAAAAAATTAATTTAAGATGTATTTGTTTTCATTCACAGGAAATAGATGGATCTGTGTATCTCATCATGGAGGTATGCATGAATGTGGTAAAAAGAAAAGTTCCTCCCTGACATGGCTGCATCCTCAGTTTTTGTGCAATTTCTCTTATCTTTACAGTATTGCAATGGAGGTGACCTGGCTGAATACCTTCAATGTAAGTGTCTTTTACGCAGCACATGTCACACTATTTTTCTAGCCGCGTATTCTCAATACATGTCGCCATTGCAAGAAAAGGTCAAGCTTTGATTATTTGAAACATGTTACGTGCGGGTCTGTTTCTGGCCTTGAAGAGGTTTTGCTGTTTTCTGTGGTCTTCAGGTTGAGGTTTAAATTCTTCAAGTTCACTAGAAAATGATCACTCGCATCCCTAAACAAGATGTGTTAAAAAGCTTCAGAATTGCCTTGTGATGAGGTAATTTGTCGAGTAACCATAAATGCCCATTAATTATTATTAACATTTTTTTCCTTTCCCCGCACCCCAGCCACCATGTGATTTCCAACAGATGTAAATTCTTCAAATGACCAATGAACATGACTTACTTAAATCCCTTCATCAGGTTTCAAACAAAAGTGATGACACTGCTCAGAATATAGTTGATTTTTTTTCATTCGCTAAATTTAGCCAGTCAGTGTTGTTGTTTCAATGCTGATTTAAGTGCTCGTGTAATTCATTCGTCGTCTCCTATTTTGTAGACTTGACTGTTTTGTGTCCTTGCCAGGGGCCATTGCCAGCTATTTGCAGCACGCTACAGAGGCACTGTGGCTCACAGAGTGCCCATGTGACCTCTCCCATCTGTCACACACTTGTCCTTGTCCTCTAGTGGAAAAACACTGTAGCCTTTAAAATTAAGCACCTTTGCAAACAAAGTGTGATGTTAATGTGACCCGAGTTCTGTCTCAGTGTTGCAATCATGCTGGTGCCTGTCGTGTGGAAACAAACTTAGGAAATCAAAGACTGTCAGGAGTGAGATACTATATATTCTGAACTAAGAGTCTGAGTGACTTTAACACATCTCGCAATGATCTGGCTCGTCAATCTGACTCTTACTGAATAGCCAGCCAAATTCTGATCATTCGTGTCTTGTGCATTGGTGACCAAAGCAATTCGGGCTGCCAGAACTCTGCCAGAAATGTGAAATGCACCACACATGACCATCGACACTTCATACGTGCGGCGCGGTAATCTGCATACATTGTGAAGAGACTGACCAAGCATTGATGCTCCTTCCGCCGATCGGTTATGAGCGGATTGCTGAGGTGACGAGCGGACAGCACGAACGCTGGACAACACCGCATCTGCTCATAGTCATGGCTTCAGCGGTGAGCATGTATAGGTGCGGAAGTTGGCCAGTTTTTTCTTGTAATCCGCCAGATGTTGCTGCGCCGCGGTCGTCCTTGCCCAGATGGATAGATGGCGCCGTTTCATAAAACAAAAGCCCCAAGCACCATGAATTACCTAATCTAGAATTCTCTTGTAGTTTCTCAATTCCCATGGTTGTCCGCGTAACTGATAGCTTGCACTTTAAACTGCTTCACAAGCGTGTCTCTTTGTAGGTGCCATTTTCAAGATGT